TATATATAATCAATCAAAAATGCCTGAAGCAAACTATTTACTGTCAGTATCTTGGGGCTACATAAAGGTAAGATTTATTTAGTCTTTGAAAACTCCTGATTACTCTGATTACGTAACTGATAGATATAACAAATAACAATGGAGTCCAAGCTTTCTAAGCAATTTTATATTCTTTCCTTACACGTGAACTAGGAAAAAAATACATGTTTTTATTGGTCAAGATAAGATTTATACCTTTTGTCCGTTGTAGTTTGCATGTTAAAATAGCTTTTTTGATATGTAGTGGGTTTTCTGTTTGTCATGTGGTATAGGTTTGCGTTGTGCTTTAAAATATTAAAGTAATTAATTAAATTCACTGAAAGTAAAGTATTGGGCCAAATTACACTGATTTATGGATTCTAGTTGGTATGTAGCATTTAAAGTTTATAAAATTAATTTGTGGCTCTTTCTAAAAATCTGTACTACTTTAACCTGATGAGGAATTTTTTTTTACCTTTACATATAAATCTCTAGATGACATTAAAAATTGATATTACTTGACTATTGAAGTGATATTAAAATGAAAACTTGATTATCTACTTGTAAAACTGGAAGAAAGTTTTTATGATACTGTTATTTTTGTTCATCTCAAGAAATAAATTAATACCCTGAATTTAATAATATTGTGTTCATGCTTGGTAGGATTTTTGCTTGCCCTGTGGTAATGTTAGCATTTGTAGATCTATCTCCATAATAGAAGCAAGAGGTAGAAAAACCATATTCAGTCCCAAATGAAGCATCACTTCGTAAATTGAAGTGTATCCTTGAATATTTGAGCCAATCACAACACATTTTTAAAGATTCATTTTCCATTACTTTAAGGACTTTCAGAATGAAATATTTTTTCATTTGCTTTGTTTCTTTTTGAAGGAAAATTTCCTTATGCTGTTAAAATTTACCTGAATTCTAAGAAAACTAGAAAACTTATTTCAGTTTTGATTGTCCAAATAATCATGGTTCCTTAACCTCCCTTTAAATCAATGGATGGTTCAGATATTTAAAATTATTTTTTAAATATTTAGACTTTCATTATTTGAATTTTGCTAGCCATTTCTTGGCTAACAATTTTTTAAAAATACAGAAAAGTATAGAGGGCAATATAAGAAACACCCATTACCCTCCCACCCCAATATTTATCTCTTAGCTTTTAGTCAGTTCATAATTGATGCATTTTTCAAGAGCTTCACATTTGTATTATGATTATGAACAATACAACAAAGAATCTAAATGCAGAATTTTAGTATTTATCTTTCTGAGGAACATTTTTCCTGGACACCTTTGCTTATGTTTTAATACTGTACCTTTAAAAACTTGTAAGAAGGGCAAATATAGATGTATTTGGTCTTATTATGCATTTTGAAAGATTTATTTTTATGCATTCAATGCAGTATTTATTTAAATAGCCTTTAATACTGATACCTACCAAACTTGTATGCCTCTCAGTGCAGCATATTCAAATGATTTTTAGCAGAATATCATGGGGAAAAAAATAAGCATCTTCTTCCTGTTTGACCTGTACCACCTCCTTTAATATATATTAGGAAGATACGTAATATACCCCATAGCACGCTGGCATGATGCAGAAGGACAAGGGATTACACTTAAGAATGTTTTAATTTTGTTTTATTGTTTTATTTTGCTTCCTGAATAATTTTAAATGCATAACGTAAGTTGGAGAACTGCAGTTCTAAAAAGCAAAATACAGTATTTGGATTCAGCTGCATCTTCACTTTCCTTTATGCCTTAAATGCTATACACAGACATTCTGATGCATAATGAGAACAAAGGAGTTGAAAGCCTTCACTTAGAAAGTCTCCTCTTTTTTCTTAGTTGCAACCATAATTCTATGTATTGTTTCAGACTATTTAGACCAAAAACAATTAGAAATTCAGCAAAAGAAAATATTTAGAGATTACTTTAAAAAAATA